TTCCGGAGCCCTGCTCATCGCCGCTCAGTGCCCGACGCACCTTCTCGGCTCCGCGCGCATCTTCTTCGTCCGAGCGCGCTGCTCTACGTCTGTCGAGCGCTCTACCGTCTTCTCGGGTTGTCTCCCTTTCTTCTTCCCTTGCTCTTCGTCTTTCGGCTCTAAGGGCCCGCACCCGAATCTTCTCGTCATGCCTCGCTTTCCGAACTTCTTCCTTGGCCAGCTTCTTGGCCAGACTTCTCTCCTCTTTCGTCAAGCCGTCAACGCTTTCCCTTTCCTCTGCAGCAGCGCTTGGACCTGTTTTGCCCCACTTCGAGGCAGAGGACAGAGGCGCAGTGTTGGCCCCGGTGCTGCTGCTGCTACCTATGGCGGAGCCTAGATCGCGAGAGCCGCGCAGCAGTGCTGCTCCTGGTCCGCTCGACGAGCCAAGAACTCCCGCTTTGATACCGCTAGAGCGTGAGCAGCGAATCGAAGTGATCAGCTCGACTTTCAAGAATGCATACGAAAGACCTCCAGCGCTCGACCGTGCGCGGACTCACAGCCTTTTGTTCATCTCCTCCTCCTCCCTCGCTTTGATCTCCGACAATTCGGCTCTCCTCTGCTCTGCAGCTTTAGCCTCGGCCTCCGATGCATCTTTTCCTTTATCCTTGTCCTTGTTGTACCAATTCACATCCCTGCCCGCTTGCCAGCGACCTGTGGGAGCTTGAACGCTGTGACCCAGATAATTTTCTCGATGCTGGTCCGTGCGTACCGAATCCCAGGTGAATTCTGCCTGCCCTCCTCGAGTGCCTCCTCTGAGTCAAATGGGAAAGCACAAGTGTGTCGGTGAGGAGCCTGTTCCAGCTTTAGACTTGCAGGAACTGCGGTGCATTGAATGCCGGGGCGAGTGACTCACCGGATGGGACCGCTGTACATGCTGCAATTGGCTCACCCACGCCGTGCAGCACGTTTCCTTCTGACAGCCCTGCCTTCTCGGCTGCGTAGTTGCAGCTTGAAAGGAAGCGAGAGCTAGCGAAGCGTGCTGCTAGACTTGAGCTGAGAATGAGCGCGCACAAGGCGGTGCGAACGGCACATCAAG